TAATGCTTTCGTTGATTTTTGCTGAACTCTTGCATCACCAGCCAACCTATGCTTGCAATTCCGTCGTGATTTGAGAGTATCAGACTACGAATAAATGCTTATTGTTACATTCAGCAAATTTACTCCTCTCATTGACAAAAGAGTACAGTTTGAACATAAGTGTTGATTGATATTTTTATGTTAAAAAGTTACTAGTGGGCTTCCCTGGTGGCGCAGTGGTTGAGAGTCCGCCTGCCGATGCAGGGGACACGGGTTCGTGCCCCGGTCCTGGAAGATCCCACATGCCGCGGAGTGCCTGGGTCCGTGAGCCATGGCCGCTGAGCCTGCACGTCCGGGGCCTGTGCTCCGCAACGGGAGAGGCCACAGCAGTGAGAGGCCCGCATACCGAAAAAAAAAAAAAAGTTACTAGTAAAGCTATGAGGATGTTCGCTAGATCTTCACTCATATTCCAGTGACCTGAGCTACACCTTTGGAACCAGATGAGGGTTTTCAACTCGCAAGAACTTCCCTCTAGCTTTTGTACTCTTCAGAACGCGCAGACTAGAACTGCACCTGTTTAATAGCTCGCACACACTATTTACCCCGCACTATAGGCCCCGCAATCACTGAACCCTTCATGCAGCCAGCTCCCCAGTGGTGCCAGTAACCCTGGGGTAAACACCTCAAGGGAATCGAGCTCTATGGGGGCGTGAGGGGAGTCTCCTTACACAGACAAGGGCACAAATAACCCACAGGGTGAACAACAGCACATAGCAGTGACACCTGAGGGGTGAAAAGTCCCCGTACCCCTTACCTCAGGATTCCTATAATTGACTCTAGAGGCCGCCATGAGAGACCCCGCCCCCCCGACGGCCGTTGGGGCCCCGCCCTCCGCGCTCGCGCATGCGCTCCTGTCTTCGGGAGCAAACTGCCCCAACAGATGCCGGGAGCCGTTGGAGGACGGCGGTCCGCGTGCCCGAGAGCCCCGCCCCAGTGGGCGTGCGCAGGCGTGCAGGCACGGGGCGCGCGGGCATTTGTTCCAGAAGTTCTGCAGGAGAGGAGAGAAGTGAAGGGTCGGGCACGCTGCGGAACTTCTCAGGCGACGCTCCTCGCCGGGAACCTTCGTGACGGCCTCTTCTTAAAACCAGCTCTTGTGAGATGTGCACTCGTGATTTTTATATTGCACACGTGAAACCCATGCACTTAGATACAAAGAGTTCTGTAGAGCTCCACTCTAAGCACAGTAGCCTCAAGTTGGGACAAGTGCTTTTATGCCCTTTGGACAGCAGTTCCTTGGTTCTTGTTTATGCCTTTCAAAAACCAGTAGGTCCTTTTTCCTAGCAAGCCTGAAGTTTCCATTAAAGAACAATTCTAGGAAAGAATTTCAGACCTGGGAAACACTCTTAAGATACTGTCTCCTGACTCCGTTCCTAGAGTTTTTTCCAAACGCATTTACCCTAATAGAATTTTTTTTCTTAGTGTATTAAATACATGGAGGTTTTTCAATAAATGTTGATTCACAGGTGTTTCCTTTGTACAGTTTTGTCTTTTTTTTAATAACTTTGAGAAAGAGTTGACAATCTGGGCCAATTTCAACACAGCAGGTAATATGGGAACAATTTTACTTTCCCTCCTTCCTTTTTTGTAATATCTTGCAGAATTTCAGTTGGCAATAAAAACAACAACAACAACAAAAATAGTGGGATCAACTTACTGACCTGATTTTTTTAATACTTCCCAAAGAAACTTCAATCATCAGATCCTGTCTCTGGTCAATTTCAAGATTAGAGCATTTCTCACTTAACAGGATGCCTCTGAAGACCCCTCACACCTAATAGCACTATGCGCCTCCAAGTGCACAGACTTGAAAAGACACAAACATGGTATCTCTTCGTTTCTTTAATGTTTCGTGATTGAGTGGAAATGAACTGTCTTCTGAGGCTTGTGATGCATATCCAAAGATGTTTTTTCTCAGTAGTCAATGCCTGCCCCCAACCTCTGTGCAGGAATAGTCAGAGATCATGATCCAAAGGAATTTTAGATACTCCCTTCTGTGACTGGTCTTCCCAAATTACATTTGGGCTAATTTGATTATCTCTGTCTCTGGGGTGTAGGATTTTGAAGTATTACAAAAGTGATTGCAGAATTGGAACTGGCTAATTTTTGCACAGTGCAATTTTTGTATCAGTGGCCTTGAGAAGACTCCTTCAAATACTGTATCAGAATTATGAGTGAGAATCTTGTAAATAATTGGTTCAATGACTGAACAAGGGGAGGAAGCAACAAGGAAGCCTGCCTTTCTCGAGTGCCTGGGTACAATATTTTGCCTCACCATCCCTCTAGTATGAAGTTATTGGTTGAAAATCATTTAAGTTTTCCTTCATTATAAAAGCTCCAGTACTGAGTGATATTCCCAAATTGTTTATTATTTTGTTCAGTCCCCAACAGGAGTTTCTTTAGATATAAAGTTCACCATGATGTTGCTTGAAATATTCTCACCTTATCTTCTCATCTTCTTCTGAGTCAATTTCTCCTGACAAGGGGCAAGGAACTTCTTAAGCACCAGCAGGAGTCTTTTTCACACTGTGGAACAGTCCTTCTAAACCTCTGTTTCCCTCCCCAACACCCCACAATCAGTAGGAGTTCTACTGCTGCTACAGCAGTCAGTGAATCTCGTCTCCCAAGAGATTGGGTTGCAATCCTCTGAGGTTTTCACCCTTCATCTCCCTTGACAAGTTTCCTAACAGTCCTCTCTTCTCACAACACAAAACACAAATACTCTTTCATATCATTTTGATAGTGGTAAACTGACTGACATGGATTCTCAATATGAAAAAAATAATCAAACAAGTTTTTTAAAAGGAATGCTACCATGATTCCCATGCAGATGGGACCATATGCAATGATGAGGCCTAGATTCTAAAGAGCAAGGGTATGTAATGCAGACAGGAAATTAACAAACTTGTAAGCAGGGCTTGCAGGCTAGGATTTAGTTGGAAGTGGGTTTGTATGAATGGGGATTGGAAATTGGTAGATGAACTCTTGGCATTGTCTCAAGGTGCACATCCATTTCATGGGTAGTGGATTTTTAACACCTAGAAAAACCAGGGCTCTAGGATGTTTAGTCCCTTTAACATAAGGAAAGAGAAGATTCTCCGCCTTCTTGTTCCTTACTTCTGTCCTTACCCCTACTAAGCCAAGACGTTCAATGCTATATGATGGCTCTTCCAAATCCATTTCATCTGAAGAGCCTACAGATTTTGTGTATGTTTACAATTGTGTTTTGTGTTGGAGCCAGGATGCACACTTGAGTCTCTTTACTCCAAGTTCTCTTTCTCATAAGGATGAGTAACTAATAATAGCTTGGTATGTTATACTTTTTTGGTAGTGTTGCCAGATAAAATACAGATTTCAAGTTCAATGTAAATTTCAGATAAACAGGAAAAGAATTTGCAGTAAAAGTATGTCCAAAATATTGCGTGGGACACAGTTATACTAAAAACAAATTCATTGTTTACGTGAAGTTCAAAAACCAAATTCAGTTAGGCATTTGTTATTTTTCTTTGCTAGATCGAGCCACCCTATTCTTTCAGGTACTTTGAAATTTAAGGGACTGTAGAAATTCTTGTTCTAGGAATCTAGTGCAGAAACAGAGGAGCCACGATACCCGTACAAAGACAATCATTGGAAATATCCTCAGATATATTGGAACATATATGAATTTTCAACTAGAAAAAACAATGAAGGCATTTTTAAAAATGAAAATAGATTGCCTTCATTTTTAGTTGCATGGCACATCTCTGGAAAGATTTTAATGAAACAGATAACACTGGTTTCCTCCAGGAAAGAGGATTGGGTTGACAGGGGAAAGAGGTGGGAGGAGGACTCGCCACTGCATATTCCATTTTGCACAATTTAATTTTGAACCATGAGAAGGTGTTACTCGCTTAAAATATTATACTAAGATCATTTAAAAGGTAAAAAACTAAATCTTTAACAGCCATGGAATACTATGAGAAAGACATTTAGTGAATTCTGTTCTTGGACATGGGGGTTGCATGACAGTTTTTTGATGGACGGGGGCTTTCCAACACAAAGGATCATTAGTAAGGCTGGTCCTGCTGGATGTTGGTTGGAGCACAAGGACCACTTCCTTAGGAGTGATGTACATACAGCAGTCAAAGACACTGGATCTGCTGAGACAATCCTAATTTCAAATACTCAGTTCCATGTGGCCATAAATACCCAAGTGTTTATCAGACTAACACTTGGGTATTTTGTTCAGAAAGTCTAGTCTCTGTTGAAGTAAGTCAAGAGCCAGGTAGGAAGCAGAGTGTGTTGAGGGACACAAAACTAGGTTGATGGATAAAGACGTGAAAGGAAGGGACCGTCACGTCCAACGTCGGTGCCGTGAATCAAAAAACCAGTTTATAAACTGCCTAAAGAGGCACACGCCAATTGTGTTGCCACTGTGTGAGGTGGAAGGAACTTCTGGTTCTTGCCTACCTGCCAGAGCCCTCGTGAAATGTCCCCCCACCCCACCCCACCAAGACCCACGTGCCCTCTGCCCCTCCCCCACTGCAGAATGTTTCAGCCCACATTCTCCTATTTAGATTCAAACTTGTCCCTCCTTTACTTGGATCCTGAGCAACTGCTAAAGCAGGTCACTCTCTGGGTCCTGGTCTTGACTTTTCTCATTGAGGCTACCAGGCAGCAGTAGTCCATGCCCAAGCCTGCAGGATGGCTTCAGAAGGAGGTAAGCCTATAGGCTGGGGGTGTGTTCTCAGAGACCCTGCCATCTCTCACATCCTTCGGGTTCACACGTGACACTTCACTGTGGGCACATAGTTGGACTGAAGTAGAGGGAGAAGAGAGCACTGAACACAAGCACATTTCATCTGGGGAGACTGGGGAGCCTGAAGAAACCTGAGACTGCACTGGGGAGGAGGGGTCATTGGAGGTGGATCAAGAGGAATTTCCCTGGCTATGGAGAAAGGATGGCAGCAAGGATGACAGGTTGATTCCCCACGACGCCTTTGGTGGCTAATGGTGGCCGTGGACCCAGTGCCCCTGGGGCTTGCAACCTCACTGTCCAAGTCAGGTCACAAGGGAGTCCAGTGGAGGCCCCCCAGACTCAGACCTTTATCGTTACTCAGGGCCCCCTCACCTGGAGCACTCCAGGGGCCCTCAGCAGGAGTGCTGCATGTCCTGCACCCATATTCTTAGCAACCCCTGTGATGGAGACCATTGTGACTGCTCCAGCTGTTGGAGTTACTCAGGCTGGCAAGGGAAGCTGGACCCCAGGCTTTCCTCCTCAAGCTCCACCACTAGCTGCCCAGCTGGCCCCTATCATTTGCCCAGTGAACTATGGGCCTTGGCCACATGGCACTTCCAGGGAGGGCAGCCTGGCCACCAACCAGTCCTACGCCTCGCACGGTGACTGCTCTAACCCCCAGAGCATGTACAGTAACTTCCGACGTTGGCAGCGCCTCAAACAACTGGCCTGGAGACACCTTCCCCAGAGTCCTGATGCAGAAGCTCTTTCCTGCTTTCTCATGTGAGTGAACACTCAGGGGGTCGTGAGCTTATTGGAGCTTTTAGATAAAGAGGAACTGGGGATGGACTCGCAGGTTAGGTTTCTAGGGATACTGGAAGCAAGGTCTGAGGGCGATGTCCATGCTATGAGAAGGCACATTGTCGGTCACTGGAAGGCACAAGCCTGCCAGTCCATGACATCATGACTGAAATGTGCCTTTTCTCAACTGACCCCACCACCCTGAGAGTCTAGCCAACTTGCTCTTCCATGATTCTCATGGTAATATGGACTGAAGACTTGCAGTCAGAGAGGGTCGTGCTGTAAGGTGAGGAGCCAAGGAGTGGATGCCGCAGTCTCCTGTGGTGCCGTCTCCTTTCATACAGGACTTGATGTACGTGGCCGGGGGAAGTCACTTCGGAGGAGGGGGAGGAGCGCGGGGCCCAGGAGAGCACTTAATGCACGCCTCGACTTCATTGTTGTGGAGAATTCCACTAGGAACAGGGTGATGGTAGAGCTCTCCTAAGGGCGTGGGCTCTCTCCCACTAGAGCTGTGAGCCTGGCAGGCATTTCCATCCTAAACCTCCGGTCCCTCGTAAAAAGGGGACAATCACACTTCACTCAGAGGACTGGGCAGAAGACTCGCAGCCTTGAAAAGGAAAAGAGCTCCCCAAGGCACAGTGTCCCAGCTGTAGCCTGGGAGTGGATGGTCATCCTCGGTGAGTGTGAGGCGGTGACAGCAGTGGCCGGGAAGGCTTGTCTTTGCCCTCCCAGACCCCTGCCTCTCACCCTCCTGCTGCTCAGTCATGCTGTGTTGAGTGATGTGTGGTCCACATTGGCCGGTGGGGTCAGGCAGGTGGGGGCTGGGCTGGGCACGGAGACTGACGCCAAGGTCTTACAGCCCAGTGCTTCGATCCGTGGCCCGCCTGAAGCCCACCATGATGCTGGAGGGGGCACTGTGCAGGGCCGTGCAGGAATGGCAGCGCAGAAGCAACTTTGACCGGATGATCTACTACGAGATGGTGGAAAAGTGAGTCAGCGTCCCGGGCCCAGGGGCTGAGTGGAGGGTGAGGCGAGTGGGTGAGGGCAGGGTCTGGCCGTGGGGGTGCTCATCAGAGAGGACAAAGGAGGAGGGCTGTCACCCAGAACAGGGGCCCCACAGCCCAGAGGCCCTACTGTCCTCCAGAAACCCCTCCCTCACCTTGAGGGTTTGGGTCTTCTGTCCTTCCTCCACCAGGAGCTCTGCCCTCCCCTGATTTTGACCTACCCTTGCCTTGACATGAAGGTCTCAGGACGGGGCAGGGTGAAGCTGTGAGTCCAGTAGGGGTCCAACTCCGGCCATATGGGCTGGGCCGGAGAAAGAGCTCCACCCGCCAGCCTGCTGCTTCTTTAGTGGTGGGTGGCTGGCGGCCACTGACATAGATTTGGGACCCCCTCTCCTCATGAAAAGTGGCCTGAGTGGGTACCCTGGCATCCCTGAAGAGGCTGGGAAAGCCAGCTGTCATCAACCCAAGGGTCACTAGCCCCTCCAGTGTTTGCTCCATGGTAATCCCCTTGGTTTAAGAAACAAAACCAAACAAAAGAGCGCCTCTCAGAGGAAAGGAAGACCTCTCCTCTAAGCTCAGCATCCACATCGTCCAGCCTCTCCTGAGCCCTGTCTCCAGATCTATGTTCCAGGACTCTCAGTCCCAGCCCAGGGTTCTGGATTCGGGCAAGGACCCCTGTGGGGAACACATGCCTGTTCCAGCCTCTGGCTGTCAGCCCTTCATGTGGTTATGAGTGGGGTCGGGGGGCATGAGGAGGGTGCCCCCTGGGTCAGCCACGTGTCCCATTGACCTGGTTCAATTCAGCGACCTGGGTCTATGCTGTTGAATGCCCTCCAGTGCTGGTGAGGCAGGAAGGGTCCCAGATCTTGTATCAGTTCCAGGAGCAGCTCTCTGCTGTGAACAGCACCTCACAGGGCCTTGACAGCCTCAAGGCATATCCTCTCCCAATCCCTCATTCTTGGCTGCCTTTGTTGGGCTCCAGAACCCAGGCCTTTTGCTCAGGGTGGCCTGTGCCTCCGTCACCCCCCAGGTTCATGGAATTTGAGGCCGAGGAGGAGATGCAGATTCAGAAGTGGCAGTGGATGCAGTGCGCGCAGGACCTGCCTCCTCCAGCCCCACCGAAGCTGGATCCTCGGGGGCCCCCAAGCCCCGAAAGTGGGCCTTCAGCCAGGCACCCAGGTTCCCACTGGAGTTGAAGGCACAGGTAACAGGGGCCTAGGGTTGGCTACTGTCCCCATGTGGATCCTTATCCTTCAAGACAGGGGCATTGGTCTTTCAACCAAAACAGCCACCGAGGCAGGAGGTGGGGGCGTGGGGTCTCAGCTGCCCTTTGTCACTATGGGGTATTGACTTGGTCAGTTTTGTAACTCCTCTCACACCTCCCTGTCAAAGGACCCCACACAAAGTCTGCCTAGGAAGTGGGCTTGATGGGCAGACCCCTAGAAAATTGGAGGTTCCCCACTTCCTTACTTGTGACTCTCTTAGATGCCCCCCTTACCTCCCCTCTCCAACAGTGCATGAGGCTTCAGGTGGTCCTGACCCCACCCACACCCAAATCAATGTCCCCCAAGCAATGCCCTCACCAACGTGCGCTTGGTGGTCAGGAGGTGGACCGGGAGTCCCTCACCTTCCTTCCCTTCCTCCTGCTCTGTCTCAGCCTGTGTTCCCAGGATGTCCAGCCCCAGGGCCCAGCCCTCCCGCCCAAAGCCACACAGGTCCCAGCGGCCCCCAGAGCCCAAGGCACCCAAGGAGATTCCCCCTGAGGCTGTGAGGGAGTATATGGACATCATGGAGGCACTGGTGGGGCCCGTCCACTCAGCCACAGGCGAGTCAGATGCAGAAGGTGGAGAGGACGGAAATGAGCTGAAGCAGGAAGAGGACGGCACCTACTCGGACCCGGGCCTCTTGAGCTACATTGACAAGCTGTGTTCCCAGGAGGACTTTGTCACCAAGGTAGGATAGGCATGGAGCCTGGGGTCTACAAGATGCCAGGGCATGGAACACTCAGCACCCAAGATCTGGTTCTGCTCAGGCCATTGAGACTTAAGCTCAGCTCCTTGTTCCTGAGCCTGGTGTTAGGGGAGGTTTACGCAGATGTATGTGTGTACATGTTTGTGCCTCTTTGTGTGTATGCCTTTGTGTGTCTGTGTATGTGCCTCTGTATATGTGCTCTTTTGTATGTGACTGTGTATGTGCATGTTTGTGTGTGTATGTGCGTGTATGTGTGTGTGTGTGCTGACCATCCCCGCCTTGTGGAGGAGAGTGGGGTGGGTCTCTGCTTTTCACTTTCCCTCCAGGTCTTCTTGTCTCACAGGCTACTCCTGGCCAAGGATGCTCACAGCCTCTTCTTTCTGTCCGAGGTGGAGGCAGTCATTCACCCTCGATTCCTGGCAGAATTGCTTTCTCCAGACCCACAGCTGGATCTCTTGGCCCTAGCAGAGGAGCTGGAGCAGGAGGAAGGGCTCACCCCCGAAGAAATGAGCCAGAGGAGGGAGAGGGACACTCAGGGAGCCAGGGGACCCCACAGGAGGGGGACCCCAGGTGATCCAGGGGACAGGGGAACCCAGATGACCCAGGGGGGCCAGAGGAGGGAGGGATCCCCGGTAGAACAGGGGACACAAGGGACACCCAGGAAGACCAGGGCACGGAGGGACCCCAGTGAACAGGGGAGAGGTAGGGCCCCAGAACTGGAGGGCCACCTGGCGCTGTCCATCCCTCCCCTGCCTGGGAGGCCTGGCATGGGGAAGGGCCCGTTCCGGGGTGGGTGCAGTGCAGGGTGAAAGGAAGGAGAGGATGGGGAGCCAGGAGGGGAGGGAAGGGCACAAAGCTGGGAATAAGGTGCAGGAGGATGGCAGGAATGTCACAGTGTCTGTATTTGGATTCGAGTTCTGGAGTCACTGTCCGTCACTGTCCTCCTCCCTCCTACCAGCTGGTGCAGAAACAACTCCTGGCCTTGAAAGAGGATGAGGGTGTGCGGGCAGCCCCGAGTCACAGTGCACCCGGAATGGGCTCAAGTCCTTCTGAGTCCGACGCCGGCCAAGGTGCCCAGAGGCACGACCAAGACCCCCATCTAGGGGTCAGTGATGAAGCCTGCCCACCAGAGATTGATTCTGAGGCTCCTTGTAGGCTCATCCAAAGAGACACTGGCCTGTGCAGGCCCAAAGCCTTTGTTTCCTCTCGAGGACGTCAGGAGGTCTCTCCATCCTCTCCCCAGGGTCAAAGGCACGCTGGCCCTCTACGGGGACCCAGGGATGCATCTATGCTCAGAGAGGCCTCTCCTGTTCGGGAGGCCTGAGGGCCCAGGGACGGGGCCGGTGAGGACGAGGAGGAGCTCCCCAGCCTGGCCTTCCTCTTCGGCTCCCTGCTGGGTGTCCCAGAGTCCTGCCCATGCCTCAGGCCTGGCCTCCCCTGGAGGTTGGGGGGCCCAGAGTGCTCCCCACGCCCCCTCCCCTCAGAGAAGAGGCCCCAGCCCAGCTCCACCAGCTGCTCCCAAGTCGAGGAAGCGGGCTCTGTTTGGACACCCAGCCGCTGCTGAGAAGCTGCCCATCCCCGGGGCTGGCCTCCGGTGTCTGGGAGGCCAGCCTTGGCTCTGGGGCCGGCTCTCCCCTCACAGCCGAGAAAGAGAAAGCGTGACCTGTGTGTCACAGAGAAGAGTAAGAAGAGGAGAAGAAGCACTGCAGGCAGTAGGGAACAGCTGGGCCGGCCCTCCAGGGCGGCTCCCAGGGGAGCCTAGGGGCTCCTTGTCATCCCAGTGCGGATCCTAGATGATGTGGGGGGAAGGGAGGGAGGGCAGGACCACCAGGGTGGGGAGAGGGAGCGGGATTGTGGGAGGTTAGGGAGGTGGGAGAGGTGGGTGTGGCCAGGTGTGGGTGGGAGCAGGACCTTTGGAGTGATGTATATAAATTGTGAATAAAGATAGTTTTGGTGGGAAATGCTCTCAGGCCACTGTCATCTTGTTCATGTTGAGTTGCTCCACAGAGAGTGATCCTGAGAGGAAGGAAGGATGAGGGAGGCCACAGGAGCTCTGGATCTACAGGTGGCCAAACCTTTCCTCCACATAGACAAGGACTCCTCAGGCTGCCCCTGGGAACACACAGCTCTCACTTTCCCCAGGGACCCCCTCATCATCCCCTTATCTAAAGCCTGCTTGGCTAGGGGCCTTCTGGGGCATCTGTACCATCTTCTGCATCCCAGAACCTTCTGGGGAGGCAGAGCTGCTTTTGTTCCTTTCAGCCCTCTGGACACTCACCAGTTTCTAGGATGGAGCCTGGAGACAGCCCTTGTCATTATGGAGCTTCTCTCTGCTTCCCTGAAGTGGCCAGGTGACGGCGCTGGGATGACCCTCCACTCATCCAGGGTCTCCTGTGTGGGGGGAGTGACCAGAGAGGAAAAGTCTTGGCCATGGGGACAGGACTGTCTGCCTCGTCGTAGTGGGAGCATCCTCTACTCCCACTGGGATTATTGCAATGTGGAGAGTGGTGGACGCAGCTGCCTCTTAATCCCAATGAGGATGCAACAAGGGGAATGGGTGCGGGGAAATTCATGGGGCACCCGTGAAAGGTGTGTATAAGGGTAATGACAGTTGGGCCCCTTTGTGGAACTTGTGGGATTTCTGTGCAGCAGCATCTCATTCAACTGAGGGAGGAGGACCCATCTGGCTGTGGCTGTGGGGACTGGCCTTAGGGGCCTATGGGTGTGCAAAGACACCCCAGAACTATACTGTCCCTTCCCTTTCCACCCATGGCTGGACATGTGTATGTACTGGTATCAACACTGATTTGTATTCCCATATAAAACAGTTCCTCCTAACAAACTATGACCGCATTTCACAAGAACAGCTTGCTCACAGGGGCAGCAGTGGTGGGGGAGAGGTGTCTGTGGCCCCAGATCTGGGTGGGAGCTGGGATCCATGCTGAGGAGTGTGGAGGCCTCAGTCATCCTCCTGTGGGTGCCGGCAGAGACTTCGAATCATCAGAGTAGGGGAAATGACCCACTCATAAGGGTGAGACAAGCAAACAATGAGGGGCAGGGAGCAGACCCCTGCTGTCTCCCCGAACTGCCCCCCCTCCCAGTCTGCTTAGCCCCCATCATAGCCTGTGCTGGCCCACCTCTGAAGCCCCTTCCTCCTAATGCACTCAGATGCTCTGATCCTTTGTGAACCCGCCCTGGGCCTCACCCCCCTTCCCTGCTGGCCAAAGCCTCTTCTCCTGCTTCTGAGTTCTGATTCCTTCCCCAGGACCCAGGCGGGGTTGAGACAGCAAAGACTCCCTAATTCTCCCTCCTCCTCCCTGAGATCTTGACAATCACCTTTGTATGTTTCTATGATTTTAACTACTGTAGATACTTCATGTGAGTGGCTATGATATGTCCTTTTATGAGTGGATTATTTCACTTAGCATAATGTCTTAGAGGTTTATCCACGTTGTAGCATGAGACATGGTTTCCTTTTATTTCAAGGAAGGAAATATTTCATTGCATTTATAGGCCCCATTATCCGTTCATCTGTTGATGGACATTTGGGTTTCTTTACATCTTGGGTATTTTGGATAATGTTATGATGAATGTGGGTGTGGAAATATCTGTTTGAGATCCTGCTTTGAATTCTTTTGGATACAAATCCAGAAGTGGTACTGCTGGATCACATGGTAGTTATATTTTTAATTTTTTGAGGAAACTTCATATTGTTTTCCGTAAGGGTTGTCCCATTTTACACTCTCACCAACAATGAGAAAGATAGCCACCATCAAGAACTTGGTATGTATCCATATTATAAAAATGTTTATGCTTTCAGCACAGCTGTAGATAATCAAAATTATGTATAATAATAATATTTTTGGTTATATATGGTGTCATGTAAATCATATTGCCTTTGGCTTCTTCTTTTAACATTCTTACTTTAAGACAAATTGATATATTAGATGTTCTTTAATTTTTTAATTATTTATAATTTTGCATTGTATGCATACATTAAAAATAATTTATCAGTTCCCTTGTTGGTGAACTTTTATAAATTATAATGTGACAGGGTAATCAATTCCAGAGGAAAAGCTTTTCCTTTCAGAACTTTGAATATTTATTCCATCGAATATGGCTTTTGTTACAGTTTTTTCAAATTATGCCATCAGTACACTGTTTCATGGTGGGTGATCAGTTTCTTTGCTAATTATTTTTTTTAAGTTTGTCTTTTGTCTTTTGTGTTCTCCAGTTTCTTGATGTGTGATTAGTTTCAGATTAAAAAAATTTATCCTCCATGTAATCTATTTTGCTTCACTAACTGATAATACACATTCTTCATCTCATCCAGAACATAATATTATCTTTTTCAAATGTTACTTCTACTCATTCTCTCCTGTCTCTACTTCTAGAACCCTGGATATATGTATATTAGACCATCTTATATATATTCTCTATGTCTTCATCAGCTTGGACGGCTATAACAAAATGCCATAGACCTGGTGGCTTGAAAAACAGATGTAATTTCTTAACAGTTCTGAAGGTTGGAAGGCCAAGATCAAGGTGCCATAATTCAGTTCCTGGTGAGAGCTCTCTTCCTACTTTTCAGATGGTTGTCTTACTGTGTCCTCACGTGGCAGAGAGAAAGAGGGATCTCTCTTGTGTCTTTTCTTCTAAGGGCACTACACCCATTATGAAAGCTCCATTCCCATGACCTAATTACCTCCCAAAGGCCCTATCCCCAAATACATTGAAGGTTAGGGCTTCAACGTAAGAATTGGTGGGGGGGATATACGTCCATAGCATTCTGCCCCTGGTACCCAAAATTCATTTCCTTATTGTATACAAAATACATTCATTCTATCCCAACAGCCTCAAAAGCCTTAACTCATTCCAACATCAACTGTAAAATTTAAAGTCCAAAGTCTGAGCTAAACACCATCTAAATCATATATGGGTGAGACTGGAGGTAGTATTCATCCTGAGGCAAAATTCCTCTGTAGTTGTAAATCTGTGACCAAGACAAGTTAAGTGTTTCCAAATACGATGGTGGGACTGGCATATAATAGACATCCCTACTCGAAAAGGAAGAAATAGGAAAGAAGGAAGAGGTGACAGTTTCCAAGCAAGTCCAAAGCCTAGCAAGGCCAATCCCATTAGATCTTAAGGTATGAGAGTAAGCCTCTTTGGTTTGATGCTTTGCCCCCCAGTCCCGCTGGGGTGGAAACATCATCCCCACAGCTCGGTGGGGCAGCCCCACTCCTTCAGCTTGGTAGGGTGCCACCCACACTGCAGCTCTCTGTAGGGCCTCCACCTACACCATGACTCTCTGTGAGGGCGACAATATCACATTTTGAAACTGAGGCCCCCTGGGCCTGTGGTGGGATTGACAGACCCAATGACCTCGGAATCACCTTTGGGGTCTTTCTTCCCTTTTCTTCAAGAGGAGTACACATTCACAGCCGAATTGCTCTAGTCTCCCATTCTGTAGAATCCAAGAATTCTGACAGCCTTCCCTCATTCTGCCTGGCTTTCTCTGTCCCCTGGTAGTTCAAACTGGCAGTGTCCCTGCTGGTTTAATCCTTCTCTATTCCTGGCCTCTGCTGAGATGACTAATTAAATTAATAACACTCCTGCTACACCCTTCGAGTTTTCTTCAGAACAAGCTTTCTCACTTTCAAATATGGATAGGCTGAGAAGTTTCTAAATCTCTAAGTTCTGATTTCATTTTGCTTAACAATTTGGTCTTCAATTTCTCTCTCTCCTGATGTGTTTTACTGTGAGCGGTGATGAGGAACCAAGCTACTTCTTCCAAACTTTGTTCAGAGATCTCCTCAGATGAATATTCAGTTTAATCACTCACAAGGTCTACCTTCCAAAAAACACTAAAACACAGTTCAGTCGAGTTCTTTGCCACTTTATAATAAGAATTGCCTCTCCTCCAATTTCTAATAACGTGTTCCTCATTTCTGTTTAAGACCTCACCAGAATAGCCTTTAACGTCCATATTTCTATCTGTTCATGATTATTTCTGTATTCTCTACAAAGATGGAGATTTTCTCTCCAGTGTGCCTCTTTTCTTTCTGAGCCATCGCCAGAATCACTTTTAATAGGTAAGGGCTAAAAGGCCTTTATGGTGATCTCAGCTTTTTTTTAGCATGCACTTCAAATCTCTTTCAGCCTTTACCAACCATCCAATTCCAAGGCCACTTTCACATATTTAGGTATTTGCTACTTCTTGGTACCAAAATATGTCTTAGCTCAAGGGACTATAATAAACTACCACAGACTGGGTGGCTTAAACAACAGGCGTTTATTTCTCACAGTTCTGGAGGATGCAAAGTCCAAAATCAAGCCACCAGCAGACTCTAGGTCCATAAACTTCTCATTCATAATTTCTGACCATTTCTTTTCTGTGCTACATTTTAGCTAATTTTTCACATCTATTATCCATGTCATCCACTTCCTCTTTATCAGTATCTGATCTAACTTTTTCCCATTCACTTTGATACACAGATGTGTGATGTTTGTATGTTGAATTTCATCATATACTATAAAATATTCAATTTCAATGGTCAAGATTTACTAACATAAATCATTTTTACTGTTGAAGACAGAACATTCTTAACTGGAACTGGCACTGTTAATACAAGTATATGATAGTGAATAGAAGCCCAAGTAGTACAGTTTGGTGCCACTCCTTGATTTGGGTTAAGGTGCCAGCACTTCTGCCACCTTTGCTTTTGCACCATCAGTACCTATGTCAACACAATTGTTCCA